AAGCTCTCCTCGGATCGAGGAAGGATCCAGTCATCGAGACCAACGACCTGCTTATGCGGAAGGCGGCGGTCTCTCTCCCACTTTAGGGGCTGAGCAGGTTGCATGTTTATCAGTCAGAATAGGAACGTCGCTCCACACGCAGTACAATTGATCTTGGGCTATATTCCAGCAAGAGTAACTACATACCTAAAGGTTAACCGTAACCCTAACCTCAATACTACTCCTACTATTGGTGCTAAACTTCCCCTCGCCATAGCCGCCAGCCTACCCCGAAGCATAATCTCCCTGGAATTTAGCGCCAAGTCCCCTGTATTGCGGGTGGGCTTTTGAAATCGACCCGCCGTTTTTTTTTCTGATTTCCATTCGCATGTAACTTTTCTTATAAATACATCAGTGGTCTATAGCTATCATTATAAACTCATTGGTATCCCTCATTGCTTGTTCGAACTATAACAATGAGGTCATTAGTGCAGGATGCTAGCATCGTTTTGAAGGAAGGCCACATTTGCATATATTTTGCGCCTCGATCAAGGACGATTCTTCATGAGGTTGGCCATTGCAGTCGTCGGCTATTATGCACTGTTTTTGATCTCCTGGTGTTGTGTGGTTTGTGTGCCTAATTCTATTCAAGGTAAACGGAGGAGGAACTTGCTGAAAATTTTGAAATGATATGTTCAAAACAATAGCGTATTCCATCCTCCATAGTGCTAGCGGTCCATGTTCTTGTGTGCTGATGTAGAGTCCTATAAGAATTCCTTACTCTTATATCCAACATGATCACAACGTCCGCAATTTGTTGGGAACTAGCAAACTGGTGTTGACTATTAGTCCTGCGTCTACTGGTGCATCTTTCTTCCTGCTAGACTGTCATCCAAAGGAGTGAAACATGCCATGTGCACTCATCGCGAGTTCGAGGCTCGGGTGAGACACCAAATGGGTCTGGCTATGACTGCCTGTGGACGGCTAATAAGCCAGAAATGGCCATTACAGTCTCCCTCGTCTTTTCCGGCAATACTAGCTGCCTATACTATCAGCTATTACGACTAGCAGGACCTCTGGTGGGGCCCAAGACAGAGCGGAAAAGATGAGTTCCGTTAGCGGTCGGGTGAACGTTCATCAATGAGTGTCAATATACCGTGCCCTAAAGCGGCTAGACAACGAGCTCATGGCTGAATGGTTAGGGCGTTTGACTCTGATCAAAAGGGTTGCGAGTTCGACGCCCCAGCGGGACGCCACTTGAGTCTGGGTGTGACTGTCTGACGACGGCTAATGAGTCAGAAATGGCAACTCCAGTCTCCCTTGTCCTTGTCGGCAATGCTTTATGCCACATACAATTGACAATAAGCGCCTGACGGTAGTCGTACAGAAGGGCAGCATAGACATCTAGCCTAAAATCTACCAAAGAATCATTAATTCAACACAATGCAGTTAGTTTAAACTGTCGATTTTCGCTTAAGCTTTGCGTGACGACAATTAATTAAAACTCGAAGGGGTTCACTGCTTTAAGCGTTTAGAAATTGATTTGAGAGAAGATGCCGATGTGCAATTTAAAAAAGAAACATCCACCGGCTTCGAGACGAAAAAAACTCCCACCCTAAAACTGTTTTTTCGACACAGTCTGATGCTGCCGTTTGCTTGATCCACACAATACAATTAAAAGTCGTCTTTCAACACTTCCTGGAATGCAGTTTGACTGTGTATGTGTGTGTGCATATGTGATTATCATCTGAAGTCTAAACTCAGGTAGCTACGCTTTGGTGAAAACGGAGGGCTGGCGGATGTCGTTAATTATATTAAGCACAAAGTTTACGAATAGCAACAACAAGTGAAGCCTGGAAAACAGAATTGTAGGGTGTGATTTGTGGTGGATCTTATTTTAAATAAACATCGACTTCATCAAGTTCAAGGCACCTAAGGTAGTGCCTGTCCTCATGAGATTCAAATCGCGCAGTTTGCTAGGGGCTTTATTTCGGCCCCAAATCTATAGCTGGAACCGCATATGTGCTGTTGAATTAACGACAACAATATTAACCTGTGTCAATCGAGATCATGTCGGTTGGTCATTTAATGATACTTACGAACTATCATTACCGACCCACCTGGCCCCCAAAAGGGAAACTCTATTAATCACTGCCAGTCTACTAAACATAACCAGCCAGTTGAAAATAGCACGGTCGACTGCCACGAGTCTAATTGGTCCATAAAGGCTAAGGCGACCGCGATTGGTGCAAATTGCGGAATCATGCAGTTGTTGTTGCCAATTAAAAGTTGTTAAATAGCACACTCACATGTCCGTCTGTTGTAATAGCCCACACCGCAAGGAAACCAACTGGCTGGTGAGGCAACTGCTCCCCACCCA